TTTCTTGAATCCGCCATTTTGAATCTTTGAACGACTGCCATTTTTTACTCAGGCATTCTTTTGAGCTTGAATTTACGGCATCGTAATCTACTAGTGAAGACCTTTAATTTGATGTGCATATCGACCTATGCTTACATTAACAATTATCTTCCGATTCCTAGGGCTGTGCCCCCTGAGGAGTAGGCGTATAATAGCAATGTAAATTAAATCAATCTTTGAACAACTGTCATTTTGCGCTGGATCATCCTTTTGAAGTGCGGTTATTGGCATTGTATTCTACTAAAAAAGACCTTTAATTTGATGCGTATATTGACCTATGCTTCCATTTAAGATTTTCTTCCGACTCCTTGTGGGCCGTCCCCCTGAAGAGTTATTTTATCACTGAATATGTGTTAAAATAAAGTTGTATGCCCTGTAACTTTGTACCAAGTATTGTAGCTCTATCTGCATTATTTTTTAAAATATTTAACTGTCCTGGGACTTTTTTACCACCCTGTATATTGGTTTATTAATTATAACTTTACTTACCGGTTTAAAAAAATATAAACAAAAAATTTTGGTAAACTGGAATTGGACTTTTATCTAAGAGATTATAGCTGTCATTTTCCATCATGATAGTATGATTATAGATTACAGTGTAACACCTGTTCCAGGTGGGATGCCAGGAGCCAAAGGGTTGAATCTAATGATAAAATCTGATGGAAGAGTTATATACCTTGGCTCAAAGACAGCGATCAATGTTGAACCTGGGGTAAGTATTCTTATTCCACTTACTGACAGCTTATAAGTGGACATAAAATAATCAAGGAATAGTAGTTTTTACAGTGCTTTGCATGAAATAAGCTAAACCAATACTTTGTTAAGATGATTGAGAAAATGTTGATTAAATAATTTAATTTGAAGAATGAAAGAAAGAAATAATACCCCTGCCGCAGCAAACCTGACGTCTATGCGAATTTCCATTTGGCTGAATTGATTTTCAATTGATCTATTTAAATAACTATTTTTAATGAGTACCTAGGTTTGCTGCTACAAGGAAACTAATAAAGTGTGTTTTTAGGTAAAACAATTATAGCTTAGTATAAAATCAATATATTTGCCAAGTTTGATAAAGATTTATCGAGATCAAGATTTTTTTAGTTTTCTCCGTAACCAATAACCGTACAAAAACACTTTGATATACTAAATTATTTGTTTTTTTAAGCTCTTTAAAAGGGTCTAAAGGAAAATTGGGAAATTTTGTGTTTTGAGGGTCAAAAGTGAGAAAACCCAATTTTTGTCTCATGATTTTAAAATTTAATTTGCTTAGATTCAATTATATACTTTCTTAGCTGATCCTAGCTGGCCCCTTGATCATTTAGTAACGATTATTTGTCTAATAAACACCTGATTTTAGTCAGTAATGAGAATGAAATCATAATTATTTATTAAATTATTATCTTTGCCTTGAATTATACACCCTAGTTTCAAATCAAATGGCTAGATGAAATGAAATGAAATGAAAATCGTCTTTATTCTTGAGCGTTTTTCATATTACAACATATGTTTTTCAAAACAACTCACGTCAACATAAATAAATAATATAAAACAAAAGCAACTCTCAAATCTTAAGTTAGGCTAATTAAAAATTAAAATATGTTCTCTATTCCTAATTATTTTACCATTCTTCAAACCATTTGTTATATATTTTTTAAATGACTTTTCACTGTCCAACACCCCTGGCTCAGTCCTGGACGACAATTTATTCCAGATTTTAGGGGCAAAATAAGAAAACCCACAACGGTCGGACTCACAGCGCACACGGGGCATCTCCAGCATGTCATCCTGCCGTGTGCATCGGGATCGCATCTCAGAGCGAGCTCTCAGTCTTACCTTCAGGTACTGAGGTCTCTCCTCTGACAGTACCCTCCGGATGATGCAGGAAGTGCGTAAAAGGCACAGGTCAGCCATAGGCAATAAGCCAAGAGATGTGAGGTCTGATGAAATTCGATCAAATTTTCGCAGATCGCAGACGTACCTGACGCACATGTTTTGCACCCTCTGCATCCGACTCATGTCTCCCAGTGATATAACATTACCATACACCGGAAGACAGTAATCAAACACAGACAGTACAAGTGCCTGCACAAGCTGAAATTTGGTGGGTTTGGGGAACAAGTCACGATGCCTGTACAGCATTCTCAGACGACCTATTGCTCTCTGGCATGCGTAACTCACATGATCAGAAAAGGAGAGCTCAGGATCGAAATGAAGCCCAAGAAGCTTGGGAGCTTTACACTCTTTGAGCGGAATTCCGCCAAGGCATACTCCAGACAGCACTCCAGATGCACTATCAATGAAGGATATCAACCCTTTGAGGTCGAATTTTTTTCACATTTTTTAGCGAATTTAGCCTGCCATTCAAGCAGTGAGGAAAATGGCACCCAGTGACCTATACTCGCCATGCGACCAAAAAAATTAACTTTTTAGATTTTTGAATAATTTTTATTTATTTTTTTTTTTTTGGTCCTTGTAGGTCGCCATTTTTGAGCAGTCGGTAAAATGGCGGCCGGCGACCTATACTCACCATTCGACCGCAAAGGGTTAAAGCAAATCTAAAAAACAAACTATACATTTATTTCTGTTTTGTAGGATGTGTTTCAACTATTGACACCAGGAGGAGGAGGCTGGGGGGAGGGGGATGGTGATGAGTCAGTTCCTCCCACCAAAACTCCCAAGTTCTTGGAGCGTGGAAGTGTCTTCGAGTACCGCAAAGCTCAAGAATCAGTTTAGAGTGAAAATAAGCCCAGGAACAAATACAGGATTTATTGTTATAGTTACCAAAATGTTATAATTGTTAAAAAATATATTTTTAATCTTGTTAATTGTTATTATATCTTTTTATTTTCAATACCTGTGAGTTACAGAAGCAATCTAGTTTCTCTTTGTTGCTGTTATATTTTTTTTAGAATACAGTACATACTATTGACAATTTCTGTTAAAAATTTAGCTACATTCAGTCCCATTTTCTGTACAAAAAATAGCAGTCATGGGCAGAAATCTATCCATCTATATTATTAATACGCAACATGAAACTTTGTGAACAATAAGGCTTTTTTGTTTTAAGATTTAACCCCACATATTATATACCAAAATGTTCGTCTAGTTGTGTAGATATGCAATTTTACCTTACATTTTCGAAAAATTCCCTTTTGGGCTCTGCTCCAGTGGCTTTTAAAGTTCCCACGTTATCCTTATGAAGAAAGAACAAATTTGTTTACATTATTATCAGCTGGATGATTTAGTTGCTGTTAATATTTTGGTTGCAATTTAAAGCCTCAGTCACACTAGGCTGTTTAGCAGCCGCTACTAACCAGCCGCTGGCAAATATCGCCAGCAGCCAGCGGATCTGTAGGGTTCACATTATAACCACTAGCCGCTAGTTTGTAGACGTAATTTGCTTCAGCATCACTCTTCTTTGACTTTTTAACGTTGTTTTTCTCTTTCATAAGACCAAAGCTGATTTTAATTTTTCGTTCAGTTGTAAACTTGTATCAAAACAGTTGTAAACTTGTATTAAAACAGTTGTAAACTTGTATCAAAACAGTTGTAAAATTGTATCAAAACAGTTGTAAACTTGTATTTAAAAAAAATGTAAACTTGTATCAAAACAGATTCAAACTGTTATCAAAACAGTTGTAAACTTGTATTAAAACAGTTGTAAACTTGTATAAAAAACAGTTGTGAACTTGTATCAAAACAGCTGTAAACTTGTATTAAAACAGTTGTAAACTTTAAGACTTTGATATTGTTCAACTTTTCTTATATTCATATTTTATATTCATAGTTATATTCACATAATATTACCAGTATTTAAAAAAACTTGTATGAATTAAATTATAAAACAAGATATATATTGTTTCTCAACAATTTTAAATTGTTATTGATAATGCAAGTTTACAACTGTTTTGATACAAGTTTACACTGTTTTGAAACAAGTATAAAACTTTTTAATACAAGTTTACAATGTTTTTGATACAAGTTTACAACTGTTTTAATACAAGTTTACAAATGTTTGAAACAAGTTTACAACTGTTTGATACAAGTTTACAAATGTTTTGATACACTGTTTTGATACAAGATCAAAACTGTTTTATTGATAATGTACAAACTCACATTATAATCGTTTTGAAACAAGTATGAAACTGTTTTGAAACAAGTTTTAATACAAGTTTACAACTGTTTTGATACAAGTTTACAAATGTTTTGAAACAAGTTTAAAACTGTTTTGAAATTGTTTTGAACAGTTTTCAAGCTACTTGGGATATATATAAAACTCGAGCAAAAATGGATGAAATTCGGTATAAACTTTTAAATCAACAATTATTCAAACGAGTTTGCGAACCAGCATGATTTAATTTTATTTTATAACAACCTTATAAGCTACATCAATTTTGAGCCGTTACAAAAAAACCTTTTATTCATAATTCATAAAACCGTTTAAATATTGCTTTGATATTGTTCAATTTTTTTTTATATTCACATAATATTAACAGTATTTTAAAAAAAAATTGTATGAACTAAATTATAAAACAAGATATATATTTTTTTCAACAATTTTAAATTGGTATTGATAATGCACAAACTCGTATTATAATTGTTTTGAAACAAGTATGAAACTGTTTTGATACAAGTTAGAAACTGTTTTGATACAAGTTAGAAACTGATTTGATACAAGTTACATATTAATCAATGATAATGATCAAAGAAATTGCAAAAAATTAAAAAACATTAAACAATTAGATGCAAAGATCTAGTCTAATACATATTTTGTTCAAGATGTTCACAAAATACACTATGTAACCATAAGTAAACCATCGTTTTATACTAAAACTTTTATATACACCTAGCCAGTTCCAAATCATATTTCTGATAATTTTTGTTGTGAAATGGTACCACTGTTCTTTTAAGTTTTCTAATCACATGTTTTGAAACATAGCTTTGTCATAGTGTCAGTTAAATTGTCAGTGTATATAAACACATCTTCATTCTAAAATTATGTGGTTCTAAATTACAGTGGATGAAAACTCTTTTAACACTATTTTGATAACACTTAAACATTGAGTTGATTTACCGTACCTTCATATTTACATACATTTTGATCTTTTATGTCTAATCTTTTTAACAAGTAGTACAATACAGTTTTAGAATGTTTACAAATCCTCTCATCTAGAAAACAAGTCTTAGGGATCAAAAGTTGTTGGCTTATGGAGCAAGGGGGGATGATGGAAAATGGATAGACAAAATCGTGACAGAGGTAAGTTACCATAATGTAAATTTAATTCTTTTATGCATTGATTGGCATTTTAAAAATATGAAAAATAATTACTTTTCAGAGGAGCCTCACAACCAAAGCACCCAGCGGATAATACAGGTTTATACAGTTTTACCTCTTATATACCTGTTTTAAGCCTAAAAAGTAATTGTGATTAATAATAAGAATAAGTAATAGACATGGATTAGATCCCTAAAGTATGGGTTACACTTAACTTGATACCATACTTCCAGACACACAAAAATGTTTCTGTTTGTTTTGTTGATGTAAATTGATCCATTAATATTGCTTTAAAGTTTAAATCAAATGTAAATAAAGTTTCTTTTTGTTTCCTTACTGTAAAATGTTGCAGACATTCCTCAACTCAAATAACTCCTTTGGTTTGACATTGTTGCAAGTTTGTAAAACTACTGCAATACCTTCATAAATAGGTACCTATTTAAATATGTGGTGTGTCATGTATCAACAGACAATAGGCCCTATAATAGTTTCAGTAACAAAATTTTGCTTTGGGGTTTACCATCAAACGAAAATAAGGCAATTGAATTTTTAAAATGTAGAGGTTTAGTGAACGTCAAATAATAGTCATTGTCTTAGATTTGTATTATTTTTGTCATTCTTTTGTTTGCTATATGTCTTTTATAATAATAAAGATTTGGTTCAATAATGTATGGGTTTTTTTACAATCAATCAAAGTATCATCCTGTCTCGGGCAGGTCTAACACGCTGCTCATAAGGAGATCAACTGTCTGTGGCGTTTAGCAAGAGAAGCTCACCTAAAATAAATGGTTGCCAGCTTAGGTGGAAGTTGATCGGATGGGTAAATTCTTTGTGTGCCACACCTCTTGCATTTTCTTACTTTTTTATTGCAATGTGTGTTCGTATCCACCAAAATCTTGTTTATAATTATGAATTAAAATTTTTGTGCTCATAAGATGACGAAATAAATAAAATAGGTATATAGGCTAGTTATTATCAAATTCATGAGTGATCTCCAGAGCACAAAGGGTTAAAGCACATAATCACAATTATTTGAACTACCTACAGTATAGTGTATGTAACCAAATTGTTCCACGATTTATAATGTAAAAATGTTTCAGATAGTGCTACCGAGGGGAGGACATTGCACACATATACACCAAAGGTAAGTATTAAACCTCTGACAGTAAAAATCATACTTACGGTATGTTATGATTACTTTATTTTTGTTGCAAAACATATAATATTCATATTTTGTTTAGATACCACTTCAACTTATTTACATTTTTATGGTAATTTGTGAATTCAAAGCTTTCCGTACATAAAAATTGTCACTTACATTTATGTCTTAAGAGTCCTTGGAACCTAGACGTTCTAACTAAAACAATAATAAAAAACCACAAAGAAAATTTCTAATCTCATAGTTTACTAGAAGATATTTAAATTACAATCACTCTGGTGTTTGAAAAAATATTTTGGGATGGTACATAAAAATAACTCTTTAGCAGCTGTTTGAAATTAACGAAATTAACATTGATCTTATGGCGGGCAAATACAAGATGGCCGTTAGCTTCCATGGACTTCTCTGGAGAACAATTCAAAACTAAAAAGAACATTTCTAATCTCATAGTTTACTAGATAGATATTTATGTTATAATCACTTCAGCGTTTGGAAAAATATTTTTGGATGATAAATAGCTCTTCAGCAGCTGTTTGAAATCATCCAAGATGGCCATTAGCCTCCAAGGACTCTTAAAATACAAAATCAGTTATTTCTCCTATACAAATTTTGACGGGACAAACCCTGACCTCTTTCATGGATTGGACTTAGACTTAAGGATCCTGGACAACAAACAAAACATTATTGACCCCACCACCCCCATACCCCTATTCATATTAACCCATATTTTGCTCAAACAAAATGTGCCTAACTTCATTTTTGTGTTATCTAAATTAATATACTATTTAACATTGGTTCACTGTTTGGTCATTGCTTCACTGACTAATATTTCAATTTAAATTTTTTTATTCTTTGAGAAGTATTTTACTACAGCATTTTAATGGTGTCATAGACTAAAATTATTAAAATATAAAATACACAGCTTAAAAAACAAATTTAAAAATACAACTCCCCAAATATATATGCCTTCTTATGTCTAGTAGCCTATTCTTGAGGGAGATGGAAAAATTCTTCTAGAGATTAAATATGGCCATGTTTATTAAGAATTTTTTTAGTTATGTCGGTAAAATATTACAGGCCTATGTTTAATTTAGAGCCACGAGGATCTTTTGAGAAGCCATTTACAACTAGACGCAACAAGAAATGCAAGGTTGCAAAATGAGCTCAAACGACTCGCTGATGAAAATAAAAAGCTTCAACAAGATTTGGAAGATGCTCAGAATGAAATATATGACAAAGAAGATGAAATTGAAGAACTGCGGAGGAAATTAGAAGAGAAGCCAAAGTATAACCCTTCATCTAAGTACTCGCCTGACGAACCCGAGCAGGTGTTTGAGGTAAACATGGGAAAACTGAATTCAACATCCCTTAGTTAGGCTACACTAAAAAATACCTTTAAAAGATTTATTGCTCCACAATTAAAAATTATATTCAGTTTCAAGATTGTCAAAGTGATTTTTAACTGTAGCCTTCTTTATGCTTATTTTAAGTTACTATAAAAACATTAATGATGAACATCACACATAATAAAATTTCTTATCTCATAAAATTAGGGATACTTTTTATTGTAACTTAAAATGCACACCGCCATGGGCACAGATGGTAACCTATTTATCAATCCAACATCAGAGCCATTTAAAAAAATCTAAATTTTAAAATCCATAGATAATGAAGTACGATTATAGAATGAATAACATGGACAAGCTAATGGTTACTTCCTATTCAGCAATGTTTGGTTTACTAGCCCAAGATAATTCTACTGATCTATATAGTATCTTGGTAAGCTCTATATTTAATTACTGTTTTGTTTTCTGTTTTGATAGCAAATTTGTTACTTTACTTGAATTGTCTATAAAAAAGTCAACCCTAAACATAATCCTTATATACAATACGTGAAGACAATTTCTACGAAACACTACTCCTCCGTTAATAATGGACGGATTTTTACAAACGATGTGTCAAAATTAAGTATTTTTTGTGTAGACACCCCCTTTCAACAATTCCTGTAATAAAAGTCCTCAGGCTTTGCCCCACAGGCCATCAAAATCCCAATGTATTTCTATTGAAAAAATTATTTTGTTTACTTAAACAGACAAATAATTTGTATTAATTACAGATGTTCGTATTAAACACACGATACACACCAGAGCGTTCTTTTTCAGTTTCGATAACTGGAATGGAGTGATTGATTACATTATCATAGAGTTTACTCTTTTAACTCATCGGAAATAATTATGACTGTTATTCGTTTTGAAATAATACCTGTAATACTTTGCAATTGCTCGAATTCGTGCAACAGGTGCACTAGTATTATATGTGTTACCAGATAACCTCCAGATTCAGAGTTCCATCGTTTGTACTTAACTTTAAAGAAATAAGCTATCTGAAAATGTTCTAAAAGTCAGTACCTAACATCTACAAAATATATCTGTCATCTAGAAAATAATTTTTGTTTCAGATAGATGGTAAACCAGTAACTCTTGAACAGATATTGATGCATTTTGAGGGAGTCATAGAAAAACATCATGACTTGTTGGATAACAAGAATCGACAAATATTTGATCTGGAAAATGCTCTTAAAAATATGCCCAAACAGTAAGACAACACTATTTTACTAGTTTATGTACGGTATCAGAATTTAAGATTACATGCTCTGACTGAAGATGGGTATCGGCAGGATGTAATTAAAGATACGTCTTATAACACTTAAAACATATATACACGCTTATACTGTTACTCACAAGACGGTAAATATACAAAAGATGGTAAGTGGTGATCGATTTCGATTGGACACTCCAATCATCATCAGACCCAATAGGCGAATGACTATTGGGTCTGATGATGATTGGAGTGTCCAATCGAAATCTATCACCACTTACCATCTTTTGTATATTTACCGTCTTGTGAGTAACAGTATAAGCGTAAATATATGTTTTAAGTGTTATAAGACGTATCTTTATTTACTTTCCGTAAATTTAATAACACGTACAATGCTGATCAAAAAGTTATTCAGGATGTAATGTAAGGAATGTCGGCCTTAGTCACTAACAAGACTACAAGATCGCGCCACTCATCCTACACTCATCTCCATTCATACTTGGCTTAAAATACCTACTATGTATGGTCGCCATTTCATTGAACAGTATTAACAGTATTAACAGTATCAGTGATTGACAAACAGAAATTTTCCTGCTATTGATTTGAATAGATTCTTTCGAACCTGTTCCAAAATCTATACTCTTTTTGAGACCAATGCCGCAATGTATTTAGATGGATGAAATTATAAATAAAAATAGCAAAGAAACCAATGAAAAATTGACAAATTTTCTGGCATGTTGAATCTCAAGCTTAATCCGAAGGAATCTACCATTGAATAAGCCTTGAAAATAATACATGCAGACACCACTTAATCAAAAAGGTTAAAATGGGGGAAATGTTTCTGTGTTGCTGTATGAGAACATAGGAAAATGAGCGTTGTGCTATGATTGAAGTTAACTATAGAATTACCTCTTATAGATTTAAAAACTATGATGGTTGATTGGGACAGAATAGTAGTTTTTCTCACCAGGAGCAAAAGTGGCTCTTTCTGGTACGCAATCGTGTTCCACGATTAAAGTACCATAAGTTTGGTACAATTAAGTACCAATAATACACATTTGCTCCGTGTGATGAACTACTATTTTCATCATACTATAGAAATAACCTTCTAATCGTTACAAAATTAAACCACAAAATTTGAGGTTATACAAATTTGTCATCAATATGTTTCCATTTCTGTTGTGTACTAACACACATAGCTTTAAACATAGCTTTAAATATTGTGTGATTAGCAGCGTTTTTATAATGCACTGATACAATTTAGAGGTTACTTACTTACTTACTCCCAGGGCCATCTAATCGCAGGTGATATTTAGCCGCACCAACAAATCCTCTCCAATTCGACCTGTCTTCTGTATCCTGTTCTGTGGCTCCAACTCGCTGCATATCTGACTTGACCTGGTCCCACAATCTCTGTTTCGGTCTCCCACGAGGTGCCTTCCTTCAGAGTTATTTCTACTGATAATCTTAAGTTGAGATGTTTCTTTCCTTCTCACCACGTGTCTTCTACATCTTAGTCTTCTACACTTTATCCCGCTCACTATATCTGCACTGTTATACAGGTCTCTAATTTCCCTATTGTTTTTCTTCCTCCACTCTCTTTAAAATACAATGAGCTTTTTTCTTCTTTCTTATTTAATATCCATGTTTCCGATCCATAAAGTCAAACAGAAAAAATTATTGATTTATACAACCTAATTTTAGTTTTGTGTGGCAGTGATTTGAAGGTTAGCGATCCTAAAAATTTACCATATGTTTTTTCTGTTCCCCATTTGAAGTTACCCGAAAACGATGAATTTGCGGACGATTTAGAGAACTAAAAACGGCTGCTTTCCATAAAGTATGATGAAAATTATGTTATTTTTATTAAATAAGCTGCCATTTTAGTTCGGTATGGTTAAAAGTTAGATGCCTTTAAGCAGAATTTGTTGTAAATAGTCAGTTGAACAAAGCTCTTTTAAATTCTTTAAGTGGCTACAACATGAGAATGGAGTGTCCACTTCATGCAAGTTTATCTATAGTTAAAGTGAAACACCCTGGTTGGAGAAGCAGTCTGTTAAAGGCTCGATTATTCTAAGTGAGTGGGCAATATACTCATCGGTTGATTTACAAACTCCTATGTCGTGATAACTAGCCTGAGAGTAGCTTGAGAAAATCTGGTAAAATTATTTGTAAACCCAGCTAGGTACATCATAATAAATAAAGCCCCCCCCCCCCCCCCCATTGGACACTGAAAAAATAACTTAACAGCGGTTTTTGATGGACATTAAAAACTGCTGTAGAAAACCACTAAACAGCTTTAAAAGTACAAAATTTTCTTCTTTCTTGGGGAGTGTGAAACGACCCCCTGATAGCCCCCCCCCCTCCCCACCCTGAGAAGAGCCAAACCGACACTGATTTTACGTATAATTAAATTTATTCCAAAGACCAAACAGATTTTTCCAACTTACCAAATTTAATTTCTTTATTGTTTACTTTCTCAGAGCATTCAAAAGTACAAGAAACATTGAAACACAATTGGAACCTAGCCGGGAAAATAGAGTAAGTACACATTTTATTTATGATTTTCAAATTAAACTTGTGAATATGTAAACCAATACTTAGGCACAAGCTTCCTAGTTAATCACATAAAGGTAACAGATTTTTTTTACAAATAGTAAAATTGTATTTGTTGTTTTCAAAATGGTACTCTGGTTGAAATCTCAGAATTTAGTTTGTTAAATGTAAACCTCTAATTTTCTTTATTTTATTATATTTGATTTACATTTGAACTCTGTTCAGATAGTTGCACTTGAATAGGATTTGATTAGCTTCCATCTCTGAGGTGTTTATTATTAAAAGAGACATTGATAATTACAAAACAGTAGATTTTTTTAAACTGATATAGAATATAAATAATAACGTTGTCACCCTAAAACCACCCTTCAATATTGAAAGGATGGGATAATAGCCCTTAACTTATAACTTAACCTGAACAGTGGTTAATTTTTAAAGCACTAGTTTTTCTAGAAACATAAATAGTACAGGTAAAATAATACAAAAACACTCCATATAAACAACAAAATTTGTACATTCATGAAATTTCACCTGTGAGTTACTAATAATATGAGAAATGAAGATCCGATGAGTCCCCAAAATTTTGGGCGTCCTAAGGCCCTTTTGGGAGCCCTTTTTGTTCCGAAGGGCCCTTGTTCCTGAATAATTTTGTTTTTACGTTTAAGGTCGAATGAGGTGTGATTTTCGATGGTTTTAGCTATTTTAAATCGAGTGGGAGTAGTTTTAAGTGTATTAAACCAAACCATACAGGGTGTTTCGAAATATTATTACTTTTTACGATATTTAAACATTTATTCATAAAGTGATAAAATTAGTTACCTCCATGCTCTATATAAAAGGGGATTATTGAAAATAACTGTAATTCTTTACTATATAAGAGGGAAGGATCACAAGGAGTAAGAGAAAATATTAAATACCCCCGTCACAGCAAAATTGCAGACTAAGCAAATTTTCATTTGCCCGATTTTTAATTAAATCTAAAATAGCATTCAGTTTAATGAATACTTAGGTTTGCTGCCACAAGGAGGCTAATAAAGTGTGTTTATAGTAAAATATTAATAGCCTAGTATAAAACAAATAAACTTGACAAGTTTGATCAAAATATATCTATTAACAAACAAACAAAATCATTTTACACTATTCTCCTTAAGAATAACATGGAATTTTAAATTTACAATTTTTGAATTTTATTCGTAACTAATACACTTACAAAACACCTTAATATACTAAATTATTAGTTTTCTTTAAGCTTTTTAAAATGCTCTTCAGAAATATTGGGAAACGTTGTCTTTTGAGGGTCAAAGATTTACAAAATTTTTACCACATAAAAACCTGTTCCATGGACCGATTATGTCGGTTTCGTTAAAATTGAACCAAAATTACTCATGTTATCATGTTTACGGACACGTATATAACATGGATATATTATATTATATATATATATAAACACATTTATAATATTTTGAGTGGATGGTGCTTTAGGCTTCTGGGGGCATCGAAATGAAAACGTAAATCGGTTTCGGGTCTATGTTTTACCATAAGACTTTCGGTAAAAGCTTATCCCCTATATGGGATGTTCGCTAAAAGGGGATGGATTAATTTTTACACTATAACATAATAACATAGGTTACTAAGCAAAAATTTCAACTTTTAAGGTGGTGTGAATAATCTTTCAACGTGTTTTCAGGGCCGATTTACCGAATAGGCACGGTAGGCACGTGCCTAGGGCGCGAGGCAATTGGCTTTTTTTGGGGGGCGCCAAAAAATTGGAAAATAAAAAAATTGTGGTTGTATTTGCATGCAATCGCGGTAAACTTCTGAAGATCCCTCGCGGCCGTGTAGACATCGTAATCGTCTCCCGCGATTGCGGCAAAATTCTGACTATTTTCCGCGGTCGTGTAGAAATAATTATCGTCTTCCATGATCGCGGCAATATATGAACATATTCCGCGGTCGTGAGGAGATTGTCATCGTCTACCGTGAATGAGGCAAAATTCGTATCTTTTACCATGGCCGTGTGGACATTATCATCGCCTTGTACGATCGTGGGCAGATTCTGATCAACACTCGCGGCCGTAAAGACATCATTAAGTTGTCACCCGCGGTCATGTAGACATAGTTATCGCCTCCTGCGATTGCAGCAAAATAGTATTAATCTCCCACGCTCTTTTGGAGATCATTAGGCCTACCGTCTTCCGCAAATAAGGCAAAATTTAGATATTTTCCTGCGATCGAGTGGACGGACATTACATATTCTTGTGCGATCGCAATAAAATTCTGATCACCCCTCACGGCCATGAAGACATCTTTATATTGTTCCCAGTGATCGTTTGAACATAGTAATCGCGTCCCGCCATTGGGACAAAATGGTAATCATCTCCCACGACCATGGAGATCATCGTCTTCCGTCAATGGAAAAATTCTGATTTTTCCCGCGGTCATGTGGACATTATCATCGTCTTGCACGATCGCGGCATAATTCTACATCCCTCTCATAGGCCTAATATTATTGTATCTCCCGCAGTCCTGTAACCATCCTAATCATCTTCAGCGGTCGTGAAAACATCCTAATCGCCTCCCGCGATTGCGGAAAAATGTTAATAATTTCCCGCAGTTGTGTGGAGATCATTATCGTCTTCGGCGATCGTGGGCAAATTCTTGCTGTTTCCCGCGGTCGCGTGGGCATTATCATGGTTTTCCGTGATCGCGGCAATATTCTGATCATCCCTCGTGGCTTTGTAAAAAGTTTCTGATTTCTGATTTCTGTAGATATCATCATGGCGGTCTGTTGTTATGCGCGATCACGTAAAAATGAAAATTCCAGGTAGAAAATACAAATTTAATGCATAATTCCCGGTTTAAAAAAACTCACTCATGATTCACGGATTTCCCAGTTTTCCCGATTTGTGGACACCCTGTTATGTATATTGCAAAGGGGCGCTACTATTAGTTGTGCCTAGGGCGCTGACAGGGTCAAAAACGGGCCTGCGTGTTTTTTATGCAAATCTATTAAGCCTAATTTCAAATTGATATGTATTTTTCTTAGGTAGTTATTTAAGTTATTTTTTTTTACATTTATTAAAAATTAAAACAATTGTATTTGTATAAATCCTTGCATTACATATTAAAATGAAGTACTTAAACTAAAGCTATTTTTTCTACAATTTCCGTAGTATCTTTCTTTACAATTTCATCACCACAATAATTATTCTCAGACTACTCATTAACAATTTTATCATTCTTAGCAACTTGTCCAACTTTGCTGATTTTGTCCAAGTTGGTGTTCAAGCAGGATTCCCCTTTACAAACCTAAAACCTTGCATATTGCAGAACAGGCAACACCAATCTTAAAGCACGAACAATGTGGTGCAAAAACACCTTTCTTTCATACATACTGACGTTTGCAACTTGTATCTTAAGTTCCTCAAAGTGATTTTCAATCAATACAAGTACGGTTATCTTTCGTGGTTATGACGACCAGGACAGCACTGAGACATCAGAGAGCAGCATTGTCGGTACTAGCATTTTTGTCCTGAACAATGGGAACGAGTTTTATGGGGTAAAAATTGGGTTTTCTTATTTACTTTACCCTCAAAACACAAAAGTTTCCCAATTTTTCTCTAGAAAATTTTAAATAGCTTAAAAACAAATGATGTAGTATACTATCGTGTTTTTGTATGGTTATTAGTTACGGATAAAAATACCAAAATTTTAAATTTAAAATTCCATGTTATTCTTAAGGAGAATAGTGTAAAATGATTTTGTTTCTTTGTTAATAGATATATTTTGATCAAACTTGTCAAGTTTATTTGTTTTATACTAGGCTATTAATATTTTACTATAAACACACTTCATTAGCCTCATGTAGCAGCAAACCTAGGTAATCGTTAAACACAATGCTATTTTAGATTGAATTGAAAATCAAGTAAGTAAAACGGACATTCGCTAGGTCTGCAGGGTTGCTGTGACAGGGGTATTTAATATTTTCTCTTACTCCTTGTGATCCTTTCCCCTTACGTAGTAAAGAATTACAATTATTTGCAATAATCCCCTTTTATATGGAGCATGGAGGTAACTAATTTTATTACTTTATGAATAAATGTTTAAATATCGTAAAAAGTAATAATATTTATAAGATATCGAAAACAACACCTCACTGTACACTTTAAACGTAAAAACAAAATTATTCAGGAACAAGGGCCCTTCGGAACAAAAAGGGCCCCAAAAAGGGCCTTAGGACGCCCAAAATTTTGGGGACTCATCGGATCTTCATTTCTCATATTATTAGTAACTTACCGGTGAAATTTCATTAATGTACAAATTTTGTTGTTTATAAAACCCTATTTTACCTGTACTAAAATATTGAAAATGAAAAACATATGTATAACAATTATTAAGAATGTTGTTGTTACAGGAAGATTTCACAAGAGAGCTAGTTTTGATAAGAAAGGAGTATGAACAAGTTGAACATATTTTAACTGATAGAAACAACAAATTGGAAAATCATATTGAAGATTTACATAGAAAGTTGGATCAGTATAACAATGAAATCGGACATTTAAGAAGAGAACTTGCTGCTCAGAGAGTGAATCCAAAGGAAAGTCCATTGTTGCTGAAGGAGAAAGAAAAGGAGAACAGTTTTGCGAGAAATGTAGCATATACAGAAGAAAACCAACCTCAAATTTCTGACGTAGTTTCAAAGACAAATGAACCAATCAAACCATACGAGACAGCTTATAATGAAAAAGACCAACATGAAGAACCAAACAACAGTTATGAAAAAGCAATTACTACACATGAGGAGCCCATACCAAGATATGAAAAAGCAATTATTACACATGAAGATCCAATGCCAAGATATGAAAGAGCAATTACTACACATGAAGATCCAATAATGGTACAACCTGGGTATGGAGAGCAAAATATACACAACTCTCCTGACAGCAGCTCCTTAAAATCTTTCAAACTAGTAGATTACAGACCGGTCTCACCAGAAATCTCTTACAGGCAGTTTCCTATCAGATCAGAAAGGTATTCCAAGGCTCATGATCCAAGATCATATTCTCCCCCAGCGTGTGAAGCTTGTGGTGAAAACTACATTCCATCTCGAGCCCCTTATATCCAGCAGCAAGATGATGTTCCTTCAAGAGCAGAATATGTTGAACAACAACAACTGGTTCAAGGAAAACCAAAAAAGAAAGGCTGTTGTGGTGGAAAGGGAAGTCAAACTTCAAACGTTCCCTATGAGAAGCGACCCCAGAAGGAACAGGTTGTTCATGTACACAATCTGAATCAAGCCCAAGATCAACCTTCTGATTCGCCTAAACCAAAAAGAAAATTGGTGGCAAAATTGAAACCGGATATTATAAAACTATAATATATAGATATTATAGGAATATTATAAAACTAGTACGAATAAATAAATTTAAAACTTTTTAAAAATAGTGATTTTACTTTGAAAAACAAAAACTGTACACGTTATATGTTAAACCACCAAACATAGCTTAGGCATTTTCAATTAAATTTTTCCCTAAATTGTACACATCACAAAAATTTTGAAAACCTTATTATCTGGTTTTAACAAATTTCTCATATTGGAAATAAGAAAGTACCATAGTTCTCATAGTAAGACCTAGCGTCGAGACCGATTTTCTTTATTGTTTTTAGGTCCCGAGAAGCTAAAACACCATCCTTTTAAATTCATATATATGTGTGTCCATTAACCATGAAAACTAGTGAAAATGATCCAATTTTGATGAAATTTGTTATAAACAAGTAAACCTACGTTCATTCAAACATGTTTGCGAACCAGCATGATTGGGCTATAGCAACTTGGCTTTGTGGGATAAAAATGTTGGTTCCGCATTTTTGCACCTCAAAATTAAATTCAGCTTCAACATGAAAGGTTGATGTAAAAATGGCTGAAACTTGTGTTTTGAATACTGAAATATTTTTGTATTTAATTAAACATTTTCCATACCCCCCTGACCCTATGCTAAGTTTGCAGCGGAAAATTCAAGAATCCATACACCCTCCTTCCAACAAATAACCTCTAACTCTGCCTATGGTAACAATTATACTCGTTTGAAAAAGAAAAAAAATAAGATGGAAACCAAACCATTTTGGTAGCTAATTTACTTTAGTTAACATTAATTAGTCTTATGGGACTAAGATTCAAAATGACTACGACTGATGAAGATTCTTAAGCATTGACTAGTCAATGCTCTTAAGACATTCAAAAGAACCAGTTGGTGGCACTTACCTCAGGCAACTTGAAATACACTAGGCAAGTAACCTTCCTCATACCAGCTTTCCTACCGGCCTCATGTAAACGTGGCTTTAATGTAAAAATGTGTACGACAAATTTGTTTTGTGAATTTATTAGCTTAAAGAATGGCACTGAAGATCAATAATACAGTTTATGCACAGAAAATAGTGTATTTTCAACCCTTGCTAATTTTATAATCTTGGCTTCAACAAAAATAGTCAAATTAGAACTTTTGTTAAATAACTTAAGTGATATTGGTTTTTTGTGTCTGCAGGGCCATCAACTGCAATACAAGTTTTCATTGCGTTAAGCTCACCAGAACACCATACCATTAATTGAATTTAGTACATGACGTTTTATAATCAATAGTAATATTGAAAGTACTTAAAAATGCATTATGAATTGATCTTATTTTCATTAAAGTCTATAAAAATCATGTGTCATGTGTTTTATGAGAAAATAAACAAACAATTTCAATGTTGGTGTGGGATTTATTTATACAAATTTAAAACAGTTTATTTGGATTTCTTTACTGCTCACAGTTTAAAAGCAAGAGCTTTTAAGTTTCAAAACAGGTTTTTCTTACATCAAAGGTTAAGACTCAAGATGTCTGATAGAGCAAAATCCACCCTGTGCAGTAATCCGTATAGATTTAGACAAGTTGATTATGATACAGATGCACTAAACCCTTACCCAGCTGGAAATTGGATGGAGCTGGAACAAATAGATAAGTCGGCACTCTTACAGGAGCATGGTAAGGGGGTAGAGACAAGGAGTAGTGCTGCTACAGATGATGAGGGAATGAGCAGTTCTGACAAGACAGAAGAGATTGAGGAAGATACAGAAGATAAAAGAGACAACATCTTAAGAGGCCCAATTTGGAATTACGGAATAAGAAATTTGAACTTAGATACAGATTATTACAATAATCTTCTATTTGGAGTACCCTTTAAAAGTATTGAAACACCTGTAAGTAGCAATAAGTATTATTTCACTATATATATCTATTCTGTTTCCATTTTTTTCCGATTTTCTTTATTTCATTTTATTTGTAGAAATAAATTTTAATTGTTGAGGTACCTGGAGGTTCCTGGTTATGTAAAAGTGAGAATTAAGAGATAAACGTGTTTATTATTAGTTGGAATTCAATATGTATTAACACTTTTTAGCATTATAAGGATAAAATAAAAACGTAAAACATGTATCTCAGCTTAAAAATCATATTTATTGACAGACTCATAAAAAACCCTTAATCCTACCATACCCTTATAACTAATAAAAATGAAAAATAAGATTGCTCAAATAAAGGTTTATTTTAAAATGAATAATTTATTTTAACACAGTTTACCTACTGGGAGTTTGATAAACCAATAAGATTTTATTAAGGTCATGTCGTCGCTCTGCCTGGCGAGGCATGGCCCTTGAAGGCACCACATTTATGATTTTCCTCAGGCTTCTAGCCGGCGGTCTCTGAGGAGGTAGGCCTACCGCATAACTGATGTGTTAAAATCATAAACGTATGGATAGGTCAATATACACATAAAATTAAAGGTCTTAGTTAGAAGAATACAATGCCACAACTTTGAGCTCAAAAGAACAACTGAGTAAAAAATAAGAGCTGTTAAAAGATTCAAAATGGCAGATTCAAGATATCTTTGAACGACTACCATTTTCGACTCGGTTATCCGTTTGAGTTCAAATTTGCGGCATTCTATTCTACCATTCTACTAATTACGTTTAAGAGAGAGAGAGAGTAATTCTACTAAGACCTTTAAAATGAGGGGTCACAACATGGGTCTTTATGTTTGAAAATCCCTTATGTTATGTTTATGTTTAGTTAACCCCTATCTACCCATAAAGGGGGAGGGGGCAAACTTTTGATTTCCTGCAAAAAGCTAGAAAAGTCATCACATGATGATACCGTTGAAGTTGCAAAATTTTATCTTAGGCCATTTAATTTATTTTTGGGTGTGTTAAGAGTTTTTCAACACCCTAGGTACATATATACCGGTATACATATATAAAAATTTGAACGGATAGTGTTGTTGGCTTCTAGGAACATCAAAATGAAAAAGCCTTTCGGTCCCGAGTCTAGGTTTTACCGTGCCACCCTTGGTAATAGTTACTTCCCTTTAGGAAATTCCCTAAAATTACGTCTACACTAGCAAACAGTGTCGACGCACATTAACAAGACACAAAAAACAAGCTTAAAAATTTACGATGCAATGAGAATTCTACTTGTGTTGCTTAGTCTATGATACCTTTGATTTATTTGTTCTAAATTTTGTAATTCATTATGGAGTTAAGTAAGATTCCACAACCTTTTCTTTTTCAACCTAGGCTTTGCCCCCGAATTATCAAAGTGTTAAGGATATGAATAGTTTTAGTGATATTTTTTATGGAAACAGTAGGAAAACTTAAGTTTTTACATGTTTTTAATTATTTTGACATTTTGTTTAAACATTTAATTTGCCTACAACATTTAATAAAAACAGAGGTAAATAATAGTAAACGGAAAACGTCTTTCTATAAAAACACTTATTATGTACAAAATTAATTATTCTCATTAAATTATATATATCTGGGCAGGGGGTAAAATCCCGGAGGTAAAAATCTGGGTCGTACGTTTTGAGCAAAACTCATGAAGGGAGTAAAATTCCGGCCAGTACACTCTAGGTTGTATTATTTAATTTGTTATGATTTAATTCACAACCGTAAAACAGATGTGTTTATTTCCACCTTTAATTTATTAAACTCAGGTTTTGCAACTCAAAAGTTCTCGGCCGGAATTTTACCCCCTAGGCTGTGACGTCAGTTTTCCTCAGAGGGTAGAATTCCGCTACCCCTCAAATTTTAAGCAACTTACTTCAAAAATGTTAGTAAAATAAGTCAATTCAAATTAAACTTATCAATCAACCAACTACGTTCGGGGTTCCCCAAGATTCTATTTTTTTTTTATGTCCCACCTTCACACTCTAGGACGTTAGTTCTAGCCCGGAACTGTTTTACACATTACTTCAGGCTAGTCCTAGCGGGTTGCGTTATTATTACATAGATAAAATCTATTGAAGCCCCACGCTCTACCACTAAACCAGCTCACTCCCCCCTATTCTATTCTTTAAACTATTATCTTATCGTGCTACTTTAGAGTCATTGTTACCTTGATAAACTATTTAAAAAATTCAAAATCATGCCCCTATACCGTGATTCAAATTTTTTTCACTCTTGCACATAAAATATTATTACTAACAGCTGGGTCTTTTAAGAATTTTGTAATTTAAAATTATTAATCAATAAAATTTTCCTAATCTCAAAACTGATCCAATTGCAATATTTTTTATATAAATTTACTCAAATTGTCTCTAACGGATAAAAATTATAGCCTACTGTCTTGTTATGTTTACAGTATGGGCGTAAATTTAGGCCTGTGCTGAATAGTGTTGGAAGACATTTTTTATATTGTATTCCTAATTTCTTATGCAAATCCTACTTTAGGAAAACATGATCTTAAAAGGAGAGAAATGGACCTCATCCAAGCGGATTACTTCTTCACTTGCAGTTTTTATTTTGAAGAAACTTAAGAAAATGGGGTTCGAGAAAACTGCTCTGGTAATATTTTAAATCAAAATATTATTTACAATTTTTGTTATTAGTTTTTAAACTGTTCAATCTATTATAATTAATTTTTTCCTAATATTTGATTTGCTAACATTTATTTATGACCCAAACCCTACCGGTACCACATTTTTAAAACTGCATTCAAAGATTCGGATGTAAATAAGTGTCTAGTGTGTAGTTTGATCCAATACTAAAAAAAACTTAAGCTTTTTGTTAAGATATCAGTCTTTTGATACGTTGTTAAGAAAAATAACTGTATTGAATTTAGTATTATTGAAGCTCCAATATAATTGTGCTTAGGCAAAAACTGTAGCATGATTGTTATATTATTTCATATGTCTTATATGTTAGTTTTAACTTTCCTCATGATTTACATGTAGATGGAGTTAGAGACTGGCCGCACATTAAGCTATGGAGAGTTAGCCAATAAGGTGGAGTCGCTAGCATGTGGTCTACATTGGCGAGGTGTTCAACCAGGGCAGGTAATTATTTACAAAGTGTTAATTAATTAACTAATCTAGCTTTTAGTATGACATCAGGACCAGATTAACCAGGTCTTTGACGGCAAACTTCAAGCATGCGCCCTTTGGTCATACCATGGGGGGGAGGGCTAGTTAATCTGCCTTCCACTAATTACCAGGTTAATTCTTGTGAGTCTTAAATACTCTTAGGTACTCACCCCTTCTAGATTGGCTTAAAATACCTACTTTGTATGGTCGCCATTTCATAAGAAATTATTAAAGTATTAAGGGAAATCAGAGAAAAGTGTTCTCTGATTACTGGTTTTTAACTGACCATTCTTTCAGTACTCATTTCAGGTGTTTCTCTCTCTTTGCTGCAGTTTTAGTTCCTTAGTTTTATGCTTACGTAAGTGTTTGCTAATGTATCGGCTAAATTTGCACTTGTTTCTTTGAAACACTCTTAAGAATTTCACTATTCAATGCTTCATAGCTTTATATTTAAAATGGTGGTATTTTATAATCTAATCAGTATTTATTTACCAATGTTACCGGTGTTCCAGATCATAGCTATAGTCAGTTTCCACAGTCTGGAGGCCCATATTCTGGTCTTAGCTTGTCTTTTGATTGGTGCAGTTGTTGCTTTTATCGATTCATCTCAAAGCCCTGGTTAGTAACGAGTTTTGATCAGATCAGAGTTAACGAGTTAAGTGTTAAGTTCTCTCCTAGTTTGGCAGTTGTAGCTTATTCTACTTTTGTTTGTATTTTGCAGTTGTTGGAACTCTATAATTTTGCAGTGTCAAAACTTAAAAATGTACAATATTTAAATCATAAACAAGGCCATTGTTAACGTGAGTGTAACTTGCAGGTTTTTGACAAGACCTTTTATTTTGGCGTTTAAAGAAATGCTAAATATTTGATCAGATGTTGTTTCCGGTATCTGTGTTTGTTTCATATTATTAGGTAAAAAATCAGACTATTATTACCAGTTAAGGCAAGTATTTATAGTCTATAGAATAGTCTTTGATATAACGATAAAATTAGTCTGTTCTTCAGTACATAGTCACCTTTTTTTACACTTTACGAGAACCTGATGAATAGTCTGATGTTGTGACGCTCGCGTCACAGCGGAGACGCGTCACGGTAAATCAGCTGGTAGCTGGAGAACTAGAGGGGGGGATATGAAGTACGGGAAGGGCGTCGGAGTCGTGTGGCGGATACCAGGGCGTGTGGACGGACTTCGATGGTCAAGGCTGGAATCGCCGAATTGATAAGTTTTCCTTAGTATAAGATATTTAAGAAAATGTTCTAACTTTTCAGTAAAGGGGGGGATTAAGGGGTTAGGGAACTATAATTTTATTTCAGCTTAATATGTAAATTATACTTTGAGCACACTCGTACCCATAAGGTACGAGTGGAATTTTTCAGTGTTCATTTCCTTATTATATTTAATTAGATGCATTAGAAATATTAGATCATCAAAATGGCTGTGATATGGATGTGGTTTGGCTCAGTAATTAATTTAAGATCTTTATTATTCAACTCAAAATATCGGTAGCAACACTAGATTCATTATATGAGCCTTAACGATCCTTATGAGTCCAGTACCGTTGCTATAAACTATAGTAACACGCTTCAATGTGCTCGCCACAGCTGAGTTGAGCATATCACTGCGCATGACGGGACCACACTTGCTGTTCACGGAAGGGGGCAAGACGCTTTCCAAGGTTGAAACGGCTGTTGGATATCTAGAGATGGCATTGCACAACCCTAAACCTCAACTTATTATTAACTCCACTACAATGCCGAAGTCTGCTAACTACTTGCTGTTCCATCAGCTTTTCAGAGAGGTAAATACTTGCTACCTAGAAAGTACATTTGGGTAACTGAGGGGTAGTAATGTTCATCTTCAAATCAGAAACTGCTGGTTATTTGATCATAATGGGCAGCCCACAGAATTTCTTTTTCAGGGGGGGGGTGGGTAACCGGTGTCTTGTTTCACGGGTTGTAGGAAAAGGCCCTTATTTCCATTGATAAAAGCCAGTTCTATTTAAGTGTCTATATTTTAGGCAGCAATCTGCCAATGTTTATTTTACATTAATGCAAATAGCAAAAATGGAAACATTTTGTTAGTTTTCGAAACGTTTTGATAATTTGTCCAAACATGATTTTACATTTGTTTTTTTTCTAAACTACAGTTATTTTTCAGCCCTATAGATTATGTGCATGAGAAGTTTTGCTGTAAAGTAATCAAAAGGTTTCATTGAGTATCATTGAGCAAGGTTGTTGGCTCAATCCTGAGAAAAATTAATGCTGTATCTTCTGGACCCAGCTGTCATTGATTAGGCTTTTATTTTAATAAATGGTGCTGACTTAAAAAAACTGGTCTTAGTCAGTAAATAAGCTTCACAAAGCACCTCACTTGGTTCTACATTGATTTATCATATTTGGGTTAAAACACACCCAGTCATACCCCCATCTTAGTTGGTAATATCATGTTGGTTCCCCACCCAGGTTGAGCCAGTTGTTGGCCCCCGCCAAGCTGACCCGCTCAGACCCATCATGATACTCTACACTGGCAGCTCTGACAACCCTAGAGCTTGTCTCATTGCTGAGCGGTACTTCACTCACAGCAAAGCTTTTGTGTAGGTTAGGTGTGAATATCTTAAAAATAAGGATGCAATGCAAACAAGAACAATGTGATATAAAATTAAACCCCTTATGTTAATTACGGTGTACAATACAAACTGTAGGCAAATCATAGTGAACTGGTAAATAATGTGACGATTTACAATGTTTATTATTGTCTGCCAGGACAAAAAACAATCAATGGTGATCTGGAGAGGGCCAGTGATTGCTTGGTATGAAACAAACCAAATTTTCCAAATTTAATTTAAATATATCCATGAACAAGCAAACTAAAACAGTCTATTCTCCATTAGATTAAGATGGACATTTTTAATCAAAACTTTTTAAATATTTTTTTGGAATCATTAGGCACAGGTCTTTACAACAACGCTTCAAAATACAAATAAATTATTTCTTTTGTTCAAGTCCTACAAAACCTAGTTTGGAAAGAAATTACTTTTTTGGGGTATAAAATGGGAAAAACAAATTCTTACCCTAAAACCCCTGTTTCCTTAGTTTGATCATGCTGGTTTGCAAACTCATTTGAATAAACGTAGTTTTCAAACGAGTTTGCAGCATGATCGAACCATGGAAACTGGGGTTTTAGGGTAAGAATTTGTTTTTCCCATTTTATAAAAATTTGGGCCTCTAAGTGCCTGAACATACCTCTATGAGATACCTCTATGTGGACCTTTAAAAAAAAAGTAAATTTGTCCTGGGACCAGGTCCTACTATGAGACCTACAGTAATAGCTAGTATATAAGGGTAATTCACTAATATTCCCTATATAGGAAATTCGCTAATAAACTAACAAACAATACTTACATTAATTATTAAATTAATCAAATCAAAAGTGTGAGAATCTCATCTATTCAATTTTCCTGCTTCCAAAGTGTGTTTATTAACTTTTATGTGATGTGATACAAAAAACAGAAAATAAGCTGATTTTGTAGTTACTTCTAAAATAAAAAAAGTGTTGTAACGTTGCAGAGACACAGTGTTGCCAGAGTCAGATGAGCCAAGCATTACTGTCATGGTCACTCCACCGATGTACTGCGCTCTTGCAATCAAAACTGTGCTGAACCACTACGTCGACGGTCATAGAATTGTCTTGTGTCGTGGCCAGATCCCCGTCCCTTGCCTGATCACCGCACTGCGCAAGTTTGAGGTTGGTTTACCTTGTTTTGCATAAATTTTGTTGTTGTATACTTTTACTGTTTCTTTATGTAGAAAGATATATACAATTTGAGCAGGAGTATTATTTGGTTATTTACATGTACTTGAACAAATTTTCTTGTGCCACTAAGTTCAGAAATATAGTTTGTACTTGCTTGAACGTATAACCATTGACTATTGGATACTGAAGTAGACGTCCCATCTATATATAGACCAGCTGTCGCCAAATTTGTATCAAAAAAGAATCTAATTGAGTGAGTCAGTCACAGAATGTGCGGTGTCTAACATTCTATTTTCTACCTAATTTTTAGTTTCTGACATATTTGATGGGTCGTACAGTTGATGTGGCTCATAATAAGTAGTTTCATTAATTTGACTTGGTAAAAAAGTTTGCGTAATCATTGTAATCAATAAAAATCAGTAATTTACATCAGCAGAATCTGTTGGTGGCTCACATCAACTACGACGATTTTGATTTTAAAAACTGGCAAATAACTATTACATGGGGATGGAATGTCTAGTAGGACTAATAGTCTAAAGTATAAAATAGATCAAGTAAAATGTTTTGTGTTGTTATTGTTGATGATAGATCTTAATTAATAATCTAGAGCACAAATATAAAAGAAACATTTTTATTGGCAGAATCGGATGTTGACAAGATGAGTAATTTTACAAGAAAAAAAGTACTATTTATTCTCTGAATACATGTTAATTAGAAAGCTGATATGATTTACATATGCCACACAGCCACATCAATTTGAATTTACATTCTTGACCATATCCTAACCTGAATATTTTGTTGACGTAATTTTAAATATAAAAGTAATTTAAAATTAATTTTTAAAGTGTTTATAAGTAATGCAATTTAAAAGTAATTATGTGACATTATTAAATACCTTTTATTTAGCTCCTGTGTGTGTGTTTATAGGTGTTTGCCATCCTAACTATCCGTGATACACTGATGGCTCTATTAGACTGGCCAGCAAAACCAAGATGTCCACAACTAAAGCTAGTGGCTGTGACAGGTGTACCACTACGGTTGAAGAACTTGCTCCGGGTGCACAAAGAACTTTTCAAGAAACAAGTACAAATACTGCAGCTTTATGGTAGAGTGTGCAGCACAATTTATTGTTAGGGCCTTATGTGGCATTCGTTTGTGCATTTTGTTGAATATTGAGAAACAGGTAGAAATGTGTATTAAATGCCACTATTCTTTATACCATGAACCAAATGCTGGATTAAAAAGAAACAGAGAATTGTATGGTTGATTATAATAAGAAAGAACCTATAATTTAATAAATTTAGTTTCTTATCACCGGCTTGTTAGTTGGAAAGTTAATGCATTTCGAAACAAAACAGACATGGGATTATGACTTCAGCTCAAAGTATTTCAATTTTCCGACAAGTAACTATTAATAAAGCTATCAAGCTATAATGTTGTGCTGTTCAACTTAGTATGAATTGTATTTTTATCTAATACTTATTTCAGGTTTAGTAGAGACTGGGACTGCAGCTGCAAACACATTTGTAGAAAACAAACATGGCTCTGTTGGAAAACTATTTTATAATGTTGAGATGAAGGTGAGAATAATTAAAAATCAGTGCCGGATTTACCACTAGGCCGATTAGGCCGCGGCCTAGGGCCGCAAGCAGAAGGGGGCCGCAGAGGATTGGGAAAAACATTTTTTAGATAAAATTAATAACAAATAATTTATTTTAAACCACCAGTTTGCCGCGATCACAGGTGACCATAATGATGTCTCCGCGGACGGAGGGAGATGTTCACGATTTAGCCGCGGCCGTGGGTGACGGGGATGAAGTCCTCATGATCACAGTCCACGGGAGATGTTTTTAACACGACTTTGCCGCGATCGCAAGTCTCGATGATGATGTTCCCATGATTGCGGCCCGCGGCAGATGTTCATGATTTCACCGCGGCTGTGAGTGTTGATGATGATGTCCCTGTGATCGCGGTTCACGGGAGTTGTTAACGATTTCGCCGCGGCTCGGGGTGTCAATGAGGACGTTCCCGTGATGGCTTCCCGAGCGGGATATTTAAGATTTCGGCACGGCCGCAGGTGACAATGATCACAGAAAACGTACTACTATAACCCAGAATGCCAACCGCATGGTAAAAAGCATCAAGCGGTTTGAGAGAGCTTTGCCTGTCAATCCGTAGGCAGCGCCACCAGCGTTGCTATGCTATTGCATGGCAACGCTGGTGGCGCTGCCTACGGATTGACAGGCAAAGCTCTCTCAAACCGCTTGATGCTTTTTACCATGCGGTTGGCATTCTGGGTTATAGTAGTACGTTTTCTGTGCAATGATGAAGACGTCATGATCGCAGTCGACGGGAGAGGTTTTTTTTAACACGACTTTGCCGCGATCGCAAGTTTCAATTATGATGTCCCCGTGATTGCGGCCCGCGGGAGATGTTCACGATTTTACTGCGGTCCCGGATAACTATGATGGCTTTGACTTGGTTTAGGAGAGATGTCCACGATTTCATCCAGGATCACGGGTGTCGATGATGATGTCCCCTTGATGTATAGGAGATAGTCACTATTACTTCCGCGATCGCAAGGAATTTTCACCACAGGGAGAGGGCCGCTCAAGTAATTTGGCCTAGGGCCGCAAGTACCCTAAATCCGGCACTGTTAAAAATAAAATGTCAAATAGGTCAATCAACTCAAACTCATAATCATGCTCAAAAGTGGTTTAAATACAATGGTTTTTACATGGAGGTATGTGGTAGGCCTACATCAGCTTGTTCTGTTTAACTACTGTAATGTTTGAATTGAAACAAGTGAAGTTCTTAAACCAAATGCAGTAGGGTTTTTAATTTGTTTCATTTATATGATGAACTGCATTTTGCCTCCTGCTTGCACAAAAAAATATATCTCAAAGAAAAGTACTAACTCTTTGCGGTCGAATGGCGAGTATAGGTCCCCGCCTGCCATTTTCCTGACTGCTCAAAAATGGCAACCTATACATACTCACAAAAAAAATCAAAAATAAAAAAAGTTTATCTTTGCGGTCGAATGGCGAGTATAGGTCGCCGGGCACCATTTTCCCGGCTGCTCAAATGACAAACTATGCTCACCGAAAAATGGAAAAAAAATTCGACCTCAAAGGGCTAAAAGTCATACAAAAACATTATAATCAAATTTAAAATTAATCTATGTAACTTATTGTTAAAAGTATATACAAGTGATGGTCAAACAGTGAACTCTGTGCATAAAATTTGCATTGACTTTTTTACATACCGTACCGTACTTTTTCTTACCTGAAGTGAGTAATGTTTCTTCGGTAAAATTGTTAAAACTAAACAAAATTAAAAGAATTTTGTCTGTCTTTTGGCATCTTGTCTGCCTATGTCTGTCTCATAGCAAATATGTAAACCAAATTTGTCAGGTTCTAGATGAAGGTTCTGGTATGCCATGTGGTATCAACCAAGAGGGTCAACTTTGCGTTCGCTCTCCCACAATGATGCTCGAGTACTACAATAACCCGACAGCCAACAATGAGACAATAGACTCAGAGGGGTTCATACACACGGGTGACCTCGGCTTCTATGATGAACAAGGCTTTGTCCATGTCACTGACCGTGTGCGTGAAACGATCAAGTGGAGAACTTATCTGGTAATGGTTTGTTTTTTGTAGATGGGTGTTCATGGGCTATAAGTTGATGCATTGCATATCGAAGGAATTTCACAATAGAATCACTTTACACAAATCAGTTACGGGTTTTTCAATCCTCAGTATCATTTGGAAAAACAACTAAAATATGTTTTAAATCAAGCAGTCAGTTGACAATTTGAGGGTCTCAACAATATAGACAGCACTTTTCTACTGATTTTTACTTAAAGTGAATTAATTAGTGTTAAAATGAAGACCTTGATAATTATAATAATAAGTAATAACTAAACCCTTGGCTAAAAAATGAGGTCATGGAAATCAACCTTCAGGGACTAATAAGTTCAGGAGTATAACTCTGTGAGAGTATACAGTTGAGGAGAATTGATATAATATGATTTTCTTGAACAAAAATCACTTATGAAGTCAAACTGTAAATTTAATTTTACATTTCTAAAGGACTGCATCTCCGTCCCTGCACAGAGTTCTATGCAAAATAAAATTTTAACTCCAATTATTGCCAACAGTTAAATATAAAAGAATAAAAACTCAAAGGTTAATTAGCAGATTGGCAATAGCAGGTGTGCAATAGCACTAATAGGTAGTAGATTAGCAGTAGTCATAGATATTTTATACATTAAGCGCTTGTGTTTTAAGGATTATTGTTAAAATAGCAGGCTTGCCTGAATGGGAGAGTTCATCATATGTCTAAAACTATTCACTATACATAATAACACAATAAATTTATTCGTGAATCCTGAATCGTGACTTTAGACAGTATTATACACAACAATATTAAAAAACCATACACATTTTTTTAGAGTTTCATAACACTAATGGAGGTTCTAAATTTAAGGTGAGTCCATCAGTGATAGAAGAAGTATTGCTGGAGCTTCCTCAAGTCAAGGAGGCATTGGTTTTTGGATTGTTAGACGACGAAGATGGAGAACTGGTCTCAGCGGCTGTTGTATTGGAACTGGGACATGAACATACAGACATACTTGTCTTAGAAAAGCAGGCTAATTGTAAGTTTTAAACTAGATACGGTACAATTCTCCCAAATTTTGGCACACATTTTAAATTTTTATATGTTATTTTCATAAACATTTCAACATTTTTTACATATTTAAAATTTTTTTTAAACATGCATGCTTTAGAATGTTATTACCATATAGTGGACTCTCACTAATCCGGTCCTATAATAAGGTTGTGTTGGATTAGTTAAAGTGCAGGAGTAGTAGTTCACTACGGAAAAAATTGAAAATAAACGCCAAACATATAGAAACTGAAATCGATAGCGATCACAGCAAAATAAAAAAATTAACATTTACAAAACAATTAATTTTAGCCAAATCCTATTTTTGTTATTTTATGGGGTTTTTTATGGGAAAATAACACAAGATGCCATAACTTTGGAACCGTAATTTTTTATTTGTTCTTAATTTGTTCAGAATTGAAGGACTATAACATACTAATTTTTTTTATCAAAATCATTCAGACCATTTTTGAGAAAATCTGCTTTTTCCGTTATTTTATGAGTTTTTATGTAAAAATCACCATTCAAAATCAAAATTTTGAAAAATGAAAAAAAAAACACTTACCATCAGATACTAAGGATTAGTACCTACATACCAAATTTCATCAAAATCAGACTACAGGTGTGGTCTCTAGCTCTGTACACATCTACACACAAAGACATCACTTCAAAAACCACTTTTTTGGGTTCAGGGGAACCCAAAATGGATATATCCACTCTAAACTCAAACTCGAAAATTTTTACGAAAACAATACTTTCTCCATATAGGGGGAGAAATTAAAAAGCATCAATATTATCTCGAACTGCCGGATTTCTGGACAGCCAATACACTTACTAGCACATAACTGGATTATTAAGATTTACTTTTATTAGCATTATCATTCTGTGTAAGTTACACACTATGGTTACAGAACAAAAGAGAAACTAATTCATCTACAAATGTAAACTTGTAAAACTTGCACCGAAGTTGTTCTCAACGTTCGTACCAAGGTAACTGGTAGGTAATTAAGTATGCATAGAATGGTATATAGCAGGGTACATTTTGAATCCGGTTATTTCGGGAACGGCATAAAGCACTTAGGTGTCATTAATCTTTTTGTTCACAGGTTTGCTGCCCTTTCATAGAAAGATTCGAGGAGGGATCTTTATTTTTAATCAGTTTCCTCGTTCTACGATAGGCAACCCCATGAAAGCACATTTACTCCAGGAAGTTTTAGCCCGATTAAACATGAGCAGGAAGAGACACACTGCCTAATGACATACCCAAACAGTATTGTGACAAAACTTTGACAGGAGAATAAAATTACTGTACAGTATTAAAAAAAATATTTTCCTCTGAAACACTTTGTTTGTGTGGGTCTGATAGAGAATTGAGAGGCAAAATGTATAACAAATCCATAAAACATATATTCCTTTTAGAAATAAAACTATTAAATTCTTAAGAGTTTTTTAAGTCCCATTTTAATTGCTGTGTATTAAGAGTCTTCATCACTCTCAGTGTAGTTGCGTTTTGGGGATATGTCCTTGGGGGTAAGGTGTAATGAACGGGAGGGTGGTGCGGGGTCATTATGCGTGCCATTCTGAAAACATCGTAAACACACGACTACTAAATCGACGTGTCAGTGATTCATCTGCTGCCTGAGCCAAGTTTTGTAAAAGGCTAGTAGCGCAGTAGCCTCCGACAAAACATGTTAATTTCGTACCCCGTTTCGGACGCTGTTTTTCATAAGATTTTCTTGAAATTTGGTATCAATGTAGCTGAATAGTTATATTAGAGCTCTTACTTATTATTATTACTTTAGGACTTGTTTTTACAGCATTGAGGATTTTTTTACCAGTCTGATTGTAGTAGACATAACGTATTGGCATTGGATATAACTTATTTGTAAATTTTGCTAATAACCTACTTATTTTATACCATATTTTCACTTATTGTACTTGTTGCTTTTATTCTATACTAGTACACAATGTATATCTTGACAATTTACCTGCCTGCGTGCAGAAGCACTCCTTAGGCATTGTGTGATGTATTTTAATAAATAAATAAATAAATTTAGGACTTTTTTGTACTTATACTATTGATTTTCTTGGATATATGCATGAGGGCCCTAGAACCAACATTAATCTGTAAGGGAAAACAGTTTTAACACTACATCTTTCCACATTATACATCCGGAGCGAGGGACGTCCCAGGCATGTTTGTTATTGTTGTCGTAGGGGCAAAGAAGACTCTTAAAACCAGTGTACTGTCACACCTTAATGCCTTTGAATGGAGTCAATGAGCGCGTTCTGGGAACAACGACCGGTGCACCGTGCAGGACTGGTGCATAAAAATGCGTCGTTCTGGGAAACCGGTGAGGTTATTTCCTCCTTTTCTTCCACCGGTGCAAGATTCGTGCACCGGAGAAATTGTATGGTGCATAATACACCGGCGGCCTCTCATTGGTCAGTTTCTTTGACAACAGTATGCAGCTATGGCAAGATGGCGGGTCCATCGAATAATATTCATCAGGTATATTACGTAATAAGTGAATAATTTTCAAAAAATGTATTCTAAGAGGGTTGTTTGATTTAAATATTACATAGTAAATGGTAGGTGAATGTGTAAATTATAATCCGATGTGTAGGCCTACCGTCATAGACAAATAGAATAATATAGACCGTCAGCTGTGCTGCGGTTAGCAGAAGTTTTGGTGTCCACCGCTAGGTTTGCCATGTTACGGCGCACACCGCTGCTGCATCTGCTGGTCGCATACGGGCACCTGCAGCGGTGTGCGCCGTAACTATACGGCTCCTGCGCTCCCCACCTGCAGCGGTGTGTGCCGTAACTATACGGCAAACCGTAGCGGTGGGCGCCGGAACCTTCCTTTGACAGTCTATATTTATTCTATTTGTCTATGCTAACGTAAACCGGTGACTGACCGTTCTGGGATACCAAGACTCTTGCCCCGGGGCTGTAACGTTGAGTAAGTCACCAGTTCATCTGCACTGTTACATGTTCCCAGAACGCCCCCAATTTCAATTTAAAAAGCTAAAGCTAAATACTAACACATTCTATAGACATGCTGCTTTGCTGAACAAGAAATTTTCAACCTTGGTCTTTGGGAACCAATAAAAAGTTGAAATAAAATTGATATTGTAATAAAAACTCTGAGAAACATGTTCTCCATATTTAATTCCTATCAATCAGAGAATATAAAAATTCATAACTCAGAGTGTGAAGATATTCATACACTGAAGGACCTCAATATCTCATTTGAGTAAGCGAGGTTCGAGTTTATGAAGGTGCTATACCATAAATTTTAGATACTGAAATGTAAATTCCGACAGTGATGTTATCAAAATGTTTGGTTACTGTATAGCAAAACTGAGGCACATCGTGCGAGCTTCGGCATTTAAAGGTAAACTTTAAGCTATTGAGGCTCGATAACAGGTAACTTAACAGGAAAATTTGAGGCTGAGTATTAGGTACTGATAAAAAACAATGCATTCGACTTATTGGGTTATATTAACCTTTGGCTTAAAAGTGGCAACATTGTAATTTAGGGGAATTTCAAGGGGAATTAGCAAAATTTGAGTTATCAAGGTTCGAGTTATTGATTAAGGTCCTACACAGTTTTAAAATATACCTAAGTACGGTATTCTTTGTATTAAAAACAAAATCTAGGGGAGGATGGATCCACCTCTGTGCTAAATTTGAATTCGGCAAGCCGGATTGCGACATTTTCTGGCTTCAACTGCTACTGGAATATCAGCTATAATCAGATCATATAGAAGTGTGGTGTTAGAGTTTTTGCCTTCACAGATTGTCATCGCATTACTCAACAAATTCCCTCATGGTGTCAAACAAGCTAAAACAAAAATCCCAATTCAAATCTCAGCTATACCTATAGGTCTTATAGCTATACATACACCTATAGGTGTCCAACGTGCTGTATACCGGTATACATGATAGGCCTAATCATCTATAGTGATGATTTCGTGAACAAATGCTGGGATATATAATATACAAGGGAAACTCCAGAGCCACTGTGGCGGAGCCAATTGGACGGATCACGAAATTGATGGTGTATAAACCTATTCCATGAAATTCTACACGTATGTACCAAGTTTCGTGGCAATCGGTTCAGCGGTGTCTGAGTTTATCACTGCCAAATATATATATATATATATATATATATATATATATATATATATATATATATACATATATATATATACAAACATCCTCTTTTATACTTATAGATATAATACTCAAGAAAATAGTGCGAAAAATGAAATCCAGGCACTGGTGTCTAAAAAACAACATTATTTTATTTCATAAAAAATACTTACTGTTAACCTGACTAAATGTAAATTTTAACTTTATTTTGATTACAACTTGTTTAAAAAGTAGGACCATTAAGCAAAATGTAAAATCAATATTAAATTTTTTTTACAAAATGTATAATGTATTTTGAGTAATTTTATAAGTATTTTAAGTAAATGTATGTTTTTTATTTTTAGCGAATTTCCCATATAGGGAATAAGCTATTACCGTAGTAGGTACTCATGGTAAGACCTGGACGCGGGACCGATTTTTTTTTTTCGTTTTGAGGTCCCTAGAGGCCAAAAACACTATCCGTTCAAATTCATATATATATATATATATATATATATATATATTTATATATATATATATATATGTGCCCGTCAGCACGATAACACGAGCAAAAATGATCCGATTTTGATGAAATTTGGTACAAACGTGTAAACGTACGTTTAATCGAACGAGTTCGCGATCCAGCATGATCGGACCATGGGAACGGGGGTTTACAGGTGGTTTTATGGGGTAAAAATAGGTTTTTCCCATTTTTGTCCCAAAAAACATAAAATTTAGCAATTTATTTCCAAACCATTTTGTAGAGCTTAAAAAAACAAATAATTTAGTATATTGAAGAGTTATTATGCGCCTAATGGTTACGGAGAAAATTCCAAAAAATTGTAAATTTAAAATTCCCATGTTATTCTTATGGAGAATAAGTAAACTGTTGTAGTGTGCTTGTTTGTGAACATATCTATATAATTAATACGCTACATGAAACTTTGTCGGTTGAACTCCTCCGCCATTTCTTAACCGATTTTATCCATTGACGTCTCATTGGAAAGAGCGTGTCGCGTAGATTTGCAAACTGGCCTTACATTTTTGAAAACGTCCCTTGGGCTCTGCCCCAGTGGCTTTGAAAGTGCCCATGTTATCCTTATGGAGAACATAATTGTTTACATTTTGATCAGCTGTATAATTTAATTGCTGTTATTTATTTTTTTTTAGTTTGTGTAAACATAACCCCTAAGACGGATCGTGTTGGTATGGTTGTATCTTAAATTTGTGTATTTTCGTTGTTTTGTGTCTCTTGACGGATCGTGTTAGCATGATTGTAACTTAATTTTGTGCGTTTATCGTTGTTTTGTGTAACTATAATTTGTTTATTTGTCGTTTTTTCTTTTAAATGCCTCCGACGTGACGACAACGAAACATAGATAGGAGGCGTAATCGTGATAACGACCGCAGCTACAGAACAGTGGCGCGTAATAGGCTTCTCTCAGGGCTTAACTCATCACAGTCAGCACCTGACCCTGGACAATCTCAACTATTCGATTTCAAATGCGCCCTAACACTACCCCAAAACAACTTTTCGTTCTCAATTGGCCCTCTATCAATGACCTGTGTTGCCTGTACAGCGAGGCATTTTGAGAAGGAGAAACTCGGCCGGAATGCTTTAGGTTTATCAATAACAAAGATAAACATGGTCTGAGTAACACACCGGTAATCTTTGAGTTGACTCTTTTAAACTCATTGTAAATATGACTGTTATTCGTTTTGAAATAATTCCTGTAAATACTTTGCAATTGCTCGAATTTGAGCAACATGTACACTAGTTTTGATCAAATTTGGAAAATGTTTTTATTTCTTACTAACTATTCACATTTTACACATTTTTTTCGAACGAGTTCGCGATCCAGCATGATTGGACCATGGGAACGGGGGTTTACGAGGGGTTTTATGGGGTAAAAATAGGTTTTTCCCATTTTTGCCCCAAAAACATAACATTTAGCAATTTCTTTCCAAACCATTTTGTAGAGCTTAAAAAAACAAATAATTTAGTATATTGAAGAGTTATAATGCGCCTAATGGTTACGGAGAAAATTCAAAAAAATTGTAAATTTAAAATTCCCATGTTATTCTTATGGAGAATAAGTAAACTGTTGTAGTGTGCTTGTTTGTGAACATAATTTTGATCAAATTTGTAAAATGTTTTTATTTCTTACTCAACTATTCACATTTTACAAAAAAAAAAACAGTTTTACCCTCCCTGATGCAGCAAACCTAAGTACTTGTTAAACTAATTCTATTTAAATCAAGAATAAATGTTATATTTTTAAGTAGACATTTCAGTGTAAATCCAATTTTTTTTTTTTTTTATAAAAATATCTGATTCTCTAGAAAGCAGTAAGATTCTTACTTCGATCTAAGCAATTTTAATTCCTTATCTTGCCACATCGACCCATGTATTTAATCATCCTGTTCTTACTTGATAATTCATTAACTTATGGGATAGTTTCGCCTTGGCCAGATCTATAACATAAAGCTGTGCACGTATTTCGTGGATGGAATGAACCATAATTGTAGGAAATTTGATCACAAATCTTGAACATTTGCGGAACCAAATCCATAACCTAGTCCAGCCTTGGTAACAAATTATGCAAATGCGATTAGATGTGATGACACTGTTGTGTTTCCGAATGTTTTGTATGTAGTGAGGTTTAG